AGCTGTAGGAGGGGCATTTCCACTTCTTGGAATACAATGGGGAGCAGGGAAACTATACAATAGGCAGAAAACCAATGCATGATCAGTGCCTAGAGAAAACTATGTGGGGCTGGAAGAAAAGCATGTGCCCATCTGAGGAACCTTGTAGGCCAGTCCAAGACCCCAGGAGGGCAGACTTGAGCACTGGTTTGCCTGCTGCTTTACACATAAGCCAAAGTGATATTCCCAGCCTCACTTGAAATCTCTCAGATAGATGGATGAGCATATCCATGCAGAAAACTCTGGTTATGGATATCTGATCTTCTGTGTTGCCAGGGGCTATCAGCAGAAAGGACAGCACTGCTACATATCCCATGGTACATTGGTGCAGCAGTTGGCAGAGGCATGTTGGGGGGAGGGGATGTTGGCCACAATATGCACTGTTTTCACTGGATCTTGTTTGCTTTTTATTTTTAAACACTTTCTTTTAGTTTGGAGAAATTCTTGCAAAATCCTTCAGTCCTCTTCATTTTTTTGAATCCTAAATAGTTGGCTGCCATCGACAAATTGTTCCAGTGGAGGCTTCCAAGTGTTTGGAATCTCCACTACTCTGAGGGTTATGCTGAGGATTTCCCCATCCAGGCAGCCTATTTTTCTATTTGCTCACACAGAAGAAGAATACTCAGATGGCATAATTACTCAGGGACCTCTACAAGCCATGCCCATCTCAAAGAGATCCAGCATAAGTAAAAATACATAAATTGCCCTTATACCATAATACATTAAATGAGCTTATTGAATATTTCGAGCTCCTCTAGATATTCAATGCAGCATTGGTTCACAAGGTTCTGGTTTTCTTGCACTGCCTAAAAAGTTAACACATTGAGGATTAAGAAGAGATACATCTAAATAAGTGTTTGATGATTCCAGTTTTATAGCTGTAGAGAAATACAGAGCAAGACATGGGTTGAGAAAACTGTGTATTGCAAATAATAGTGGACTTACTTATTGAGAATCTATTGTCAAACAAAGCACAGGCTGCTGAAAGTTTCAAGGTTTCTGACTAACTGGCTGTAAGAGCATCAGATAATTTGCATTTAAACTCCTAAGCACTCAGTAGGCAATTAGATCTCTGATAGTGTCTTGCAATGTATGTGTTATCTAAAAGTTTAGTTTCTAGTATATAACTAAATAAGACTCTGGCACATACTTTCTCTTAATCCCCTATGTCAAAGGAAGTTTAGGGTCATCTCATTTATCCTTGTGAAAAGACAGACATCTGATTCATAGTCAATCTACTTTGCATGTCTTTTGGGACATGACTTCAATCATATTTGTTATATGTGCATTTACTATTTTTTTGTCTTCCTTACTTTATCTGGCATGCTGCAATATATACAATTGTTCTTCAGTAGAATAAAATACAAAGAAGTCACATAAATTTTAATATCTGGGGCAAATATTAATTGGCTCTCTCCTTTGTTGTTAGTCACGAAGTCGTGCCCGACTCATCGTGACCCTATGGACAACATTCTTCCAGGCTCCCCTGTCCTCCATCATCCCCCAGAGTCCATTTAAGCTTGCACGGACTGCTTCAGTAACTCCATCTAGCCACCTCATTCTGTCGTTCCCTTCTTTTTTTGCCTAGCACTTTTTAAAAACTGATGTTTCACTGGATATTTTTCAATAAAGATTTGTTGGCCATAAGATTCACAATTCTATATTATTTAAAAGCTCTTGAATCTATATCATCTAGCCCCAGCAACTTGTGAACTTTGTAAATTAGCTTAAGATCTTCATCTCTTTTTGACTTGGTGCTTTAGCTGACTTTCCTGGGGCAAATGACTATCTCTGTCCAATGTTTTACCCAGACAAGACCAATCACAGAATAATTCAACTTTTGTTGCTGCCTTCCTATTCTTTCATTAGAAATTCATATTGCATTTATTATCTACTGGTTGAAGCAATTCCTTAGCTGAAATTAGCTGACAGCTGAAATTCTTAATCTATTTCATTAGATTAGTATTCTTAGTATTATTTCTAAACATTCTGAAATCCTTTTTTTAAACTTACCTTATTGGCAAATGCATTTGTTTTTCAAAGTTGCAGTTTTCTTACACATTGTACTTTCACAGGACGAAAAAAGCCGCTTATTGCATCTTATGTTTTTACTCTGCACGTTAAGTCCAAGAGGTGGCATTAGGATTGTTTGTAACTTTCCTAATTTGAGGTAACTTTGGGTTGTGATTGTGGTGGCTTCTTCTAGAATGTTTGAAATTTTCTCAGAACATCCTGAAGAAATGTGATCCTGCTTGTTCTTTGTTTTCCCTTTCAATTAATTATCTGTTTTCTCCAGATGCTTCTGCTTTTGATGCTACAGATACAATGGGCATTCTGGCTCAGGTGCATTTCCTTCATGAATACAGGATATGTTGCCCAGGACCTAGCACAGGATGCAAATGTTGTTGAGCCAATGGGGAACAGTGACCACAGTGCTATTGGCTATATTTTAGTGTAAAATTACCAAGGAAATCCAGTACAGTCACACCTGACTTCAAAGGAGAAACTTTTCTAAAATATTGGAAATGGTAAAAAGGAAGTTGGGAAGGAGAAAGTATGCAGAGAATAAATCCCTTCAAAATGCTTGGAGGTTACTCAAAACCACCAAAATAAAAGCTCTACTAGAATGTATGCACAGATTAGCCATGGTAGCACCAATTCCAAGAGGTCACCACCCTGGTTAACAAGCAGTGTCAAGGAAACTATTAGACAAAAGAAAATTTCCTCCAGAAAATGGAAATCTTGCCTAAATGAAGAAAATGAAAGGGAGTGCAAGCTTGTGTAAAGGAGGGATGAGCAAACAATAAGAGATCCAAAAAGGGGAAAATCATTTTGAGGAGCATATTGCTAACAAAATCAAGGGCAATAATCAATAATTGTTTATATCTGAAGAAAGAAACCAGTTAGGCAGGCAGTGGGATCATTGGACAAAAATGGAACTAAGGTACATTAAAAGAGGATGGCATTTATTTATTTATTTTCTATGCCAAAGCTCTATGTGAGGTTCATAAAATATAAAAGAATAAAATAAAATGAAATAACATGACATGACCCGAAGATCTCAAAGAGATGAATGAAACATTTTCATCTGCCTTCACTGCAGAAAATATAGGACAGATACCTATGCCTGAACTAAAGTCTTCAGAAAGGGAGTCTGAGAAACGGAAGCAAAGTAGTGGTGTCAAAAGAAAGTTCTTGCCCTTACTGACAAATTGAAAGTTAATAAATCACTGGGCCCAGGTGTATTCCAGAGTGCTAAAAGAACTCAAAAATGAAATAGCTGACCTTCTTATACAAAACATCAACCTCGCTACCAGACAATAGGAGAATGATCAATGTAAAACCATTTAAAACAAAGAACTCTAGAAAATTACAGGCCAGTTAGCTTAAAGTGTGTTCTGAGTGAAATGTTGGAAAACATTATTATAGTCATTTAGAATTCAGAAATTCAATATATACATTGGCAGGGGTACTTGAGTAGACTTTATTTACTTGGATTTCCAAAAGGCTTTTAGCAAAAATCCTCACCAAAGACTTCTTGGAAAACTTAGCACTCAGGGACAAAAAAGAAAGATTCTCACAAGGCTCAGTAACTGGTTAATGATCAGAAAGCAGAGGGTAGGAATAGATGATAAATAGCCCAGTGGAGGAGTGTGAAAACTGTATTGGGATGCTTTTCAACTTACCTATAAATGATCTGGAATTAGAACTGAACAGCAAAGTGGCCAAGTCTATTACTGAGAACAAATTACTTAAAATGGATTGTGGGTAGCTCCAAAAGGATCTCTCCATACTGAGACAACAGATACCAAAACATAAACAATTGTAAAGTGATGCACTTTGGGTCACAGCATACCTAGTACAGTATAAGGTAACAGGATCTGTGCTAGCAGTGCTGACAGAAAGAGAGAGACAGTAATCTTGGGATTGTGGTAGAAAGCCTGATGAAAATGGCTACCCAATGTGTCTACAGTGAAAGAGGGAACTCAGTGATAAGCATAATTAGGAAAGGAATTGCAAATCAAACTGCCAATATCATACTAGCCTTATACAAATCTATGGTGGAACCAAACTTGCAATATTGTGTAAAGTAGTGGTTACTGCACCTAAAAGAGATAATGTAGAGTTGCCAAAAAGGACTGAAAAGGCAAAGTAAAATGATTAAGCTGCTGCAGTATCTCTCCTTTGAAAATAGGTTACAACACCTGGGATTGTTTTGCTTAGAAAAACAGTAAGGAGAGATATACACAAAATTATGCATAGAGTAGAAGAAGTGCATTGGAAAAAAAATTATCTCTTCCCATAAGACTAGAACCCAGAGTCATTTGATGAAAATGATTTGTGGAGATTCGGGGCAGATATAAGGAAGAACTTCTTTACCCAGAACATAGTTACACTAAGGAATTTGCTTTCTGGAGAAGTAGTGATGGCCATCAATTTAGCTGGCTTTAAAAGAGCACTGAACAAATACATGAAGGAGAAAGCTATCAATGCATCCTAGTTCTGTCCATACTGCCTCCATTATCAGAGGTATTATACTTATGTCCTCCTTGCTGGGGAATGTGGGCAGCAGGATGATGTTCACTCAGGTCCTGCTTGTGGTTTCCCACAGCAACTTGTTGGCCACTGTGTGAAAGAATGATGGATTAGATGGACTTGGTTCTGATGCAGCTGGACTCTTCGTACATTGTGGAGCTTAGGGAGGGGGCATTTTTCTTGGAAGTGCAGCAGTCAAAAGGGTTTGTTCCCTTCACTCTGTGCCACTCTTTTGCTGTGCAGCTACTATTTAATTCCCCTTTCCTCAAACTGGCATCTTCCTAGTGTTGAACTACAATTTCCACATGTTGGCAGTTTAGTACAACATGAGTTTGCCAGGTTGGGAAATTCTGTTGGTGTTTCCATTAAAAAATGGTCTCTTAGTCATTAGATAGAATTTTTCTCCTATGTCCATTTTAGTGCAACAAATTAAGAATACAAATATATAAACACATAAGCAGTAGCTGCACCAAGAGCTATTTATTAGCATAACACTTTTTTTAAAGATCTCATAAGAACTGAAATATGTACAAAGTCTTACAGCATTTATACAATAAAAAGTTTCATATTAGCTGATGAAGTGTAAGATAGTGCTGCAAAGTACTTCAAAGCATGAATAATAATAATTGTAATAATGAAGCAGACCACTGCACTTTTGACTTCTTTGCTACGCACCACAACTGTCACTTTGGCATGACAGTTAAACCATTGGGAAGACACAAGATTATTTAAAAAAAAGTGTAACAGATTGACGTGCAGCACTAAACGTTGTAGGGCAAGGGGGAGAAGAGGGGAAGGGGAAAAAAAGCTACATACTGTCATGTTTCTACAGTTTTCTAGAGCTGTAACAAGCTTCCACAGCCTTTAAATATAACATATTTAAGACAACATAATCACAATTCCTCAGATATAGTTCAGCTATATTGGGTGCGTTTGACTTATGAGTAAGAGGCTCTTATACTGATATGGCTGTGTACCTCCATTTTCTGTTCATGAACTGCTCAAACAGATCTACAAAAAATGTAGTTAGCAGCAGGCGCTTGTAATCATGATGTGCTTTGTCTAGTTAAAGGCATTCAAGATCAGCACACAGGATCTAACAATTCCTGTCAAAAGTTTAAGACAAGGAATCTTCCTTTAAAATGCTACTCTTCATTTTCATTTGTCACCTTGTCAGCCTCTTTCAAAAATACTTCTCGGTTAGTAAAAACTAAGCCATGACACTTACCAAACACCCGTAAAGGTAGTTTATAAAATTTGAGAGGGCTTTGTAGACTACTTTCACAGTTTGTAAAAAAGCCATGTAGAGAATGCAGGGGTAGGGGCCTTCAGTGAGAACACTGAAACGGAAAACAATTTCCAATACCCAGCTTCATTACACATGGTAGTTTATAGATAGTTCATTTGTCGTCAGACTACTACACTGCTCTAGGTAAGGTTTTATTTTGGCATTTTCTCCTCTTCTTAAAACTTAAGTTGAAAAGATACCTGTGTCTTAACTATAATTGTGCATAGCACACAAAAAACTTAGAAGGTGTATATATAAAAAAACCTCAACCACAATGAAAGGGGCTACAGTACTATTAAAAATAAGCCATGTAACCATTTAATGTAAACAATTTATTCAAAAACAAAGCCCTATTTAGATTCTGGTCTTAAACTTTTGGCAGATAAAGTGTGTATGCTTAGCCAGGCTCTGTAGATAGTTATTGTTCAAGTGGAAGCCAGGTCAGTTCACATGTTGACAGGCATGCAACTTGAAAACATTGCACAACAAGCAACACAAAAAGAGATCTGAGAAGTGTATTAAGACTTCAAGTAGACTTCACAACCCTTCACAACTGAATATTCACAAAGATACAGTCTCTCATTGTCCCCCTGAAGATTCACTCACACATGGGACACTTTCTGTGACTCTCTGGCTTGCTTGATGCTGTATAACCACTTGATGATTCTGGCATTTCTTTCAATGGCAGAAATACCATATGGCACGCGGTCATTGGCACTGTCATCATTTCTAAGGTCACTGTTGCTGTCCTGAGACTGTTCACAGTCTGAACTTATCATACTTGCACTGCGAAAGTTGAGAGAGATAATGTCTGAGTTAGCCCTTGCAAAATTTTCCATCCCAAGGTTTTCAAGCTCTTCAGGATCCAGTCCACAATAGTTAAAGAACCTTTCAACATCAGCATCAACTCGAAAGTATCTGTCACTTAAGTCTGACTTTGATCGTTGTAAGGAAGGTCGCCTGCTGACTCCACAACTGGATTCTACTGTGTCCATCTCTGGAGATTTCAGTGTGGTGATGGCAGCAATTTTGGGTTTGGGAGGCAGAGGGGGAGCTGAACTACTGCATGGTATTGCTTTTAAAGGTTTGCCACTAGATACTTTTCTAATGTCTGAGGAGCTATGAGAAACATGTAAGAATGACTCTGGTGACTGTTCCAGTAGCCTTCTACTCACGCTGGAGTTGCTTTCTTGAGGACTGCTACGGCCTTGGGTGGAGTAAACCTTTAAGGATTCTGCAAACGAATGTCGGTGTAGGTCTCCAGAATCAGATTTGTGGGGAGGCCAATTTCGTGAACTGTGTTTGTGCCCTGAGCCTGAACTGGAGCCCTCTGAACTATTGATTATATTTTTTAAAATCTCGAGCTTTAGGGTCTCCCTTTGGACACCACTTTCAGTCTTTACATTGTTGCTGAACACTTTCAAGGTAGGGCTGCCCAAAGCCCGCTTAGCTGCAGGGCACACTGGAGGCTTGGGGAGCACAGCTGGCTTCACTGGTTCTTGTTTGGCATTGATGACCTCTTGGCTCTTTACATATTTTGCCTTATCGGCCTCCAGCCTCTCCACAGCACTGAGTCTTTTTGGATTAGGCTCCGCCTGCCTGCGAAAATAGTCAGGTCCTTTGTTCAAAATGCGGAGGGGTACAGCTGAGGTGAAAGTGATGGCAGGACTGACAGGTTTGACCATGCTACCTGTCTGTAGTGTTTCTGTAGGCATGTTTGGTGGCCTTTCCCCGGCAGCCGTTTTGAATTCCTTTCTGGGATCTAAATGCACGGTGCAGAAACATGTATATTAAGCACAGTGAATAGCAGCTGAATCTTCGAATCTGAGGGTTAGCAGGAGGAGCAGCACCAGCAGCAATGCTTCATTTCACGGCTCATTAAATATCACGGTGTTTCTTTCTTTCCTGCCCCTCTTCGAAGGCAGCCTTTGTGCAAAAAGGCCACCAGAAACAAGTCTGTATTAATCCTGCTCTGCTGGGTTCTTTCTTCTCTCTGAAGGATGTGGAAATCTCTGCGGTTTCTTTGTGCTCAACTACAAGCAGTGATCTGAAACGCAAAATAACCAACCACATGTTAGTTATAGTGTATGATATCACAGCTATAGCAACAGAGAGCTCTCCTTCCACACCCTTTCATCTGTTGGCTGAGCTACAGTTGTGGGCTGTACATTCCACAATACCTTGGTGTGTGCCTTATTAAGAAAGTAAGCAGCATGGGAAGAATCTCTCCTCATCTATACATTTTATATTAATGCTTTTTTAATTAAGAAGTTTGTTATTCCTGGCCTAAGTCTGGGTTAAAATGATGTAAAAACCACAGTGACGAAGCCTCAGTGGGTTCTAAGCTAATTCTTGCTTATGCATCTTCTGTGGCCTATTGCTTCCTCATGGCTGTGGCTGCATTTCAGGTAATTACTGAAATACACTAAGCAGGCGGAATGAAAAGTACATTTTTGTTGGGGGGAAAAAATCCCACGCTGTAACAATAGCATAAAAGAAAACCAAACTGTAGCTAAGGGTGTTTTGGCTTGGTGCTCTCTATTTATTAGGTTTTATTTGGAATCCAGTTTCTATGAAATTGCAAACAGCTATGTGTTCTTTTCATGTGTCTTTGTATTACATATATTGAAGATGACCATAAAACCAGAACTAGATGTCTATTACATGGGTCTCTTTGCCCTCAAAGCAATTATGAGAATACATTAAGGGCCATTTTGTGGGGGGGAGGGGCTGGGGATGTTTCTGCCTGGACATGCATAGGACTGCACTGCAAAAAACTTTATGCTCCGTCCCCTTTACTTGTTCTCCTGCTGCCTAGACCCAGTCTCCTGTGATGTCTTGAAGTGGAAGTACTTTCAACAAAAGGGTAAAGAAAGTAGATGTTGTGGTAGCTTTGGTGGCCAGAGAGGAGTTAATGCAGCCTGTCACTGAAGCTGCTTCTACTTACCCAAGGTTAAATGATAAATTGTATGGCTGAATAAACAACCCAAGAAATTATGAAACAATGCTGGGGAAGAAACATAACAAATTGCCTGATCTGAAAGTAGAGCAGTCTGTATCTACAGGGTACCTAGTAAAGATTAGCTATTCCTACACTCAGGTACCATGCACCTGCAATTATCTGATGCAGGAGGAAAACAGGACAAACCTATGGGAATTGCACCTAGGGAGAGAGTTTACTTGAGGTAAATGGGTGGCAGTGGTCAGCAGCCAGAACACGGATTTCACTCAGTGTAGCAATTCCTGTATTACTGTATAATTGCTTTGATGCAGCTAATACATAAACCACAAGTTCTCATCTGCTTTTACTATGTAGCTATTTTGTCATTTAAACAGGACAAAGGTAAATAGTGAAGATAAATTGCATCATGCTGCAAATCTGTCACTTAAGTTTGTCAACAGTAATCTGGATTGCTAATTTCAGAGATGGAGTTTAAGACATGGTATTTAAGAGAATATTACAAGAGATTCCTGAGGGAAATTTAAGAATCTCATTTCAAAACAAATGGATCTCATTTATCATATTTTTATCTCATTACATGGGAGTCTACTTTCAAAATATCCAATTTCAGTTATGAATTAAATAAGAGCACTGACAATGTCATGATCACCCAGGAAAATGGGCAACTAGTTCATTACTATTAACATATCTTCACATGTTACGCACTTGACAAGTCACACAAAGTCAAACAGCAGCCTTTTTACATGTGTAATCATCTTTTCCCTGCTTTATTTCTGACCAGTTCAAAAAGGCCACTTTTAGTGAAAAGCTGCATAAATGCCATTCAGCCTTTTCCTTATGACTTAGTATCTGACTTTCTGCAAAGTTCAGCTGCACATGGATTCTGTGAAGACCCACTCTGAAGTAAAATTAAATCAAGTGAACAGAAGGAATACAGATGCCCAAGTGCTGTAAGCTAAGAGGTGCCCTTGGAGTGGAAGGTCAAGATATTCAGGACTCTGTTGCTCAGTATATATAGCATGGATCAGTCATCTCCAGCCTGTAAACATGAACTGCCTTCTCCCTTCCCATGGGTCAGTCAAAGTTGGCAAAGCTTCTTTAAAAGACCACAAGTGCAAACAGAAAAAGAACTTAGACACCATAATTATTTGCAGAAGTGAGAATGGCCCTCTTAGAAGGCACTGAAGCTTATTGGTGGAGCAAGTACTTTGCATGCAGAAGGTCTCATGTGTGGCCTCTAAATTTTCTCCTCTTAAAAGAAACAGGCAGCAATTGAAATGAGGAAGCATCATGACCAAATTCAAAGAATGATGTAAGATGGACAAAGGGTTTCATCTGTTATAAGGCAACTTTTTATATTCCTTCCTTGGAAGAAAAACTTCCCTTTTAGTAAGCTAAAAAATTTACCAGCATGGGTATTTAAAGGTATAATTTTATAAGTTTATAAAATGCTTCTGGCAAATGCTGCATACTGAATTGCAAGTTATTATTTGCTTTCTTTTAAGGGGCATTATATGTGTGTAAAGTATTAAAATAGTTATTTCTTCCTACAAAATTAAAAAGACAGTAATTCATATCTATTATAAATTCTTAAGACTTCCTTGATATAATCTAATTAACATTGAACACAAAAATGGTCATTATATAACACTTCTTATGCAAAGACATATTTTTGGCACTTTATAAGTAACTGCTGAAATGAATACTGGGATTAAACCAGGATTAAACATCATTTGCTGATGTTAAGAATATCGAACTCTTTAATGGTTAATATTAGGCAGATAATGAAGCAGTAACGTTGCAAAATTTTATGCAACAAAAATGTACTAAATAAAAACTGGAAAATGATCATACAGCTGCAGAATTTGTTTGCAAAATGTAGTATATGAGTTTCCCAGCTGCAGAAATATTGTGTGTAACTTTTATATTATTTCTTTTTGAGAATCCAGGTTTTGTAAGTACAAAGCTGTTATAATACGGTACTGCCATTGTATTGATGTTGTATAGTACTGTAATACTGTAATAGAGCTGCTATAATACATAATTACCTACTACTAACCTGCCATTTATATCAGAGGAAGATTACATTCTCTTTGTACACATGCTAGCTCTTATGGGCCATCTGTAGGTACTTACTGCAATCTGACGGTTCCTACATGTGGATGTGTGCTTTTTACACATGTGCCTTAGGCCAGTCAAACGTGATCTGATGACTGGAAACAGATTTCCTCAATGAGAGCATAAAAGAGTGCTGCAGGAGACCCTGTACCCAGAAGTCTACAAGCACTGAAAACCATGCAAACACCTCCCTGCCCTAGCTCAGGTACCCATTTCCCCCTCTCACCACCACATCCTGATCAAACAAGTACTGATCATTAATGTTTACCGAGGAAAGGAAAGGTATCCATGCAGCAAAGTCACAAAGATCTGTTGGTCAGAGAGAGTGTTGTTAAGTCACCATAGCACAAACAAGTTTTCCATCAGGTATGTTTTCCCCACCTTCTAGTTCCCCTTGCAGTCTTTGGTAGCACCTCCAAAATCTCCAGTGTCCCTAACACAGGGCACAGGGGCAGAGGAGGGGGAGATGGGAAATTCTTTCAGCCAGTGGTTTCTGTTGCACTGGTACAAGGGGATGGTTAGAGTAAAACCATTATCAATAAATACATGTATAAAAGATACTTCAGATGATATATTCCTATCATCCTAAAAACTGGTGAGGCATAGTAGTGAAAAAGATAGCTCAGAACAATGCTAAATGGTTGTTCCATTTATTTATAACACAAAATATACAGGGCAATTTATAGATTAAATCTCATGGTCTGCTACTACAAGCTATGCTTGTTAATTTCATTTTTTACATTAGTTATTTCCAGCCTTGGCTAAAGAGACAGATGTTGTTGTTTAAAAAATAATTTAAAAACTTTTCACATAAACAACAGATACCAGTAAATTTAAAAAACAAACACAATTCTCTTTACGATACATTTCTTTTCTTTTATAGCTTTTGGTAGCTGTGTATCTAAGTTTATTAGGTGCTAAAGAACAGGCAATTAAAGATAGCAAGTGGGCAAGTGCCATATTTAAAATGTGCAATACATGGGTTTCCTTTGAACTGAATTAGCCCATTGGTCCATGACCTAGCTCAGTACAGGGCGCCTTTACTAGCCACAGCTCTGTGGGCTCTGAGTTGCCTTTTCTTAAAACTGCAGGTTCCAGAGACTGATCCCAGGACCTTCTGTATATTAGACACCTGCATTATCACTGAGATCACTGGGCCCTTGCTAAAGGGAAGGGAGCCAAAGGAGTGCTCTATGTTTTAAAGCAACACTCAAACTGAATTTCTTTGGCTGTCTCTTGTTTGTACTTATGATTTTTAAAAAATCAAACAAATTAGAACTGGGCCAAGCAAATGTGTGTTCAACTGAAGTATGACACCCTTATCCATTTTGTAAAAAAGATCTCTTTGAAGCAATTGATAGTTCTTCCAAGGGCCAGAAGACATCAGTATATCGTGTCAAGTCTATAGTAATACAAGTAATGCATGTCTCAAGTCCACAGAGCTAAACTGTGTACTTCCAAATTTGAGTTTGCATAGTTTCTAATGTTGTCCAAGAGTTCAGAACACCCTGTTGAAAGTATCATTAAGTTTTCTGAATAGTTATCTATAAAAAGTTTATAGGACAGAACCTTCAACCTTCTGATTGTTTCTTGGATAACAGCCTTCTTTACACTTAAAAAATGCCATTTCTTAACTTCTTCCTTCCTTCCCTCTTGTACTTTATAACTAATTTAAACTCTTAGGAACTTTCCTCTAAGGGTACCTACTAAGTTTTTCATTAGGGTTACCATTATAGAATTCTGAAACTGTCATGAAAGAACAGGAATACTTTTAATACAATCTTATACTATATTACCAACAAATGTAAACAGAGCAAATAAGAACTTATTTCATATGATGATTCTTTCCAGTTAGATCCCTACTTTCAAACTGTGCATGTTACTAAATATTGAAGAGGTAAAATTCTGGCCAGATTGAACTTTTTTCCATCCCAAATTCTTTGGGGAGACTTTGCAGGCAACTCTCT